AGGGGGGGGGGGTTGTTGTTTTGTTTTGTTTTTTTTAGAACAAAGAGCGGTGATCGTGACAGTACGCGGTCAAGGATTATTATTATGATTCAAATCGATGGTGGCACTAAACCCTCTGTGGTATGACAAGACCCTACTTTAGAATTACAAAGTTCTATCTTCTCAGTGCCTAATTTTGATAAATTAGAAGCTAAAAACTTTGATTTTCACAACACATCAAGCTATTTCGAATGCAATTCTTTCAATATCTTGATAACGACTCCGAAAAAAACTTGCTAATTTGATAGAGCAGATAGAACATTAACGGGGTTTTTAACCTATGTAATTCAAAACGACCGAAAATGTCAGATAGCGCTTTGTAATTCTGAGGTAGCGATTAGAGCTTATCCCACACACGAGACATGTTGATCAAGGCATAGATCTACACGTGAGGTTTGGCTCTATTGTGCTGACTTGTCGGCCACGCACTGTTGCACACCCGTGGACGTATACAGTACAGTGCTACACGGTGCCACACCGTGCTCGAGAAAGCCACGCAAATAAATCTGTTTGCACAACTATTTGGAGAACAAAATAATGAATCATTCGCCGCGGATCGAAGAAACGGTTGAGTGCGCTGCTTAATTGAGACTTAATTAAGATAGATATAAACATATAACGTTATCAGTCATCACCACACAGTCTATAATATATCAAGTAACACAAAACACTATACCCATGTATCGCGACAGTCAGACCAAAGAGTTTTACAGTGTTACTGTAAGCTGTCTAATCAGACATTGTTTACAGGTCCCAGAGGTCTAACATCAATGGAAACTGGACTGCTACAGATTGAAGAGAAACAGTTGTCGTTGGGGGAAGAACGAGGCTACCAAAATAAATGTGTCACGACATGGTGAAATCAGGCGCTCGTCAATTTTTCAACATAATATAAACTTAATGGTATATTCTTAAAGCCTGTTCATTTTCCGCTCTTTCGATTATCAAGTATCCGTTTATCTTACTTACATAAGTTGAAATATTTGCAATAGAAAGAGGTGGAGGTCGCCTGGTGTCAGAGGTAACATAGCTAGAAAATGGCGCCAAAGTTTGGGGATTTTCAAAGCCGTGCTTTCTTTGGAAAGAGAAAATGTATATTTTGTGTGCCTTTGATCAAAGTTTTTCAGTAAAATTCACACAGAACTGTATCTTTATAAGGAATTTAATTTGCCAGATACAAATCAGGAAATTGATAAAGATGGCCCATAGGGCGAAAAAATGGCGTTTAATTCTATTTTATTATTTTGACAAGCACCTGATTTCACCACGATGCATCACAAATAGTCCGGTATCCTCGGGGAAGAATCACGTAGTTCCACAATGTCTTATCGCTGAGAGGCACCCCGCGGAGAGTATCACTGATCAGCGCCGCGCGACAAAGTTTCAAAGGCGCCATGCCTTCAAAATGTGCTCTGTAAGTCTTTCAGTTTACTGTGCC